AGACTTGTCAGCTATGCACCAGCATCCCACATTCTCCACCAGAACTCCTTACTTCGGTAATAAGCCCCTAACCCTCCTAACAATGGGGATTGGATATAGTCAAACCTCTTCCCACTAGTACTGGATAGTGCAAGTTCGTCATTATTGGGGTGGATTATTTTACCAAATTGGTAGAAATGGAGCCTTTAGCGACAATTACAGAGCAAAAAGTTCAAAACTTCACCTGGAAGTCTATAATTTGTAGGTTTGGAATATCCAGGGCGATCTTCATAGGCAATGGGAAGTAGTTTGACAATCCCAGGTTCAGAAAGTTTTGCGTCGAACTGGGCATAAAAAACTATTTATCTACACCAGCTCATCCTCAATCAAACAGGCAAATGAAAGTAATTATCTGGACCACAAAAACATATCTAAAAACCAAAATGGAAGCCTCGAAAGGGCGATGGGTGGAGCACATCCCAGAGGTGTAATGAGCTTACAGAACTACACCTAGGTCAGCAACTTAAGAAACACCGTTCACCTTAGCGTTCGAAATCAAGGTAGTAGCTCCAATAGAGGTCGGTATTCCATCCCCCAGGATGGAGCTTAGAGCCTGAGCACAATGATGAGTCACTCCAACTTAACCTCGACCTCTTGGATGAAAAGAGGGACAAGGCCTTGAAAAACATTTTGAGTTACCAAAGGAAAACAGCCAGACATTACAACAAGAGGTTCAGATGGAGGAGCTTTGTAATGTCTGGTACTCAAAAAGCTCCTCCCTGCAAGAAGGGACCCCACTCATGAAAAGCTAGGACCTAATTGGGAAAGCCCTTACATCATTTCAAAGATAATCAAACTTGGGAACTACGAGTTACAAATAGAGGAAGGAAAGATCTTACCTCACTCTTGGAACATAGAACATCTGAAGAGATTTTTTCAGTGAACTCTTGTAAAAAGGCCATCATCAATAAAATGATAATTTATAGGTAAATCAGCATTTCATTGATAGCTTAAAGCTAACGATGAACTCTTTAGCTCATAAACAAACGATGAACTCTTCAACTCATAAACAAACGATGAGCTCCTCAAATCATAAACAAATGATGAGCACTTCAGCTCATAAACAAACGATGAGCTCTTCAGCTCATAAATAAACGATGAGCTCTTCAGCTCATAAATAAAAGATGAGCTCCTTGGCTCATAAATGTAAGACGAGCTCTTTAGCTCATAAACAAATAATGAGTTCTTTAGCTCATATATGCTCGACTAAAAATAGGGAAGCATCTGAGAAGCATCTAGTTTAGCTCACTGCATCAATTGGGATTTTCAGCCCAAAAATTGCAACTAACAGAGTAAGATTGCAAGGAAATAAGCAAGGTAAAAAAGGTGAATTTAAGTACGATCGATTACAAGGAGAAGAAAAGAAAAAGCTCTAAGCCCCTCCAGGCCTTCTCTTCAGCTTAGATATTTCCACCTCCAAAAGAGCATGTACAGCCTGTAGACAAACATTCTCATCCTTCAGCTCATCACGCTCCCTCTCCAGCTTTGTGAGTTGCTCTAGAAGTTTCAGCTCAATAGTAGAAAACAAAATACCATAAAAAGAAGAACCAGATGAGTGGGGTGATGAACTGCTCCTTCTACATTTCCTCGAAGAGGTGGAAACCTCCTCATCCTTATCTGACTCAGCAAGAGAGGAATCAACATCAAGAATAGGAGAAATAGGGCGTAAGATAGTGTCCAGAGTAGTGACAGAAACTCCAAAACCAGAGAAGGTTCTAGGGAGTGACTAGCAATAAGAATGCGATAGCCTCAAGTTGAGCCATTTGGCTGACCCTCATCAACTCTACTAGGGTCAGACTGGGGGCACCTACATAGTGAAAGCACAATAAGAACCAATCATAGTGTCCACAAATTATAAAAGGGCAGATGTTGAGCCTCTACCTCTATTATCGAAGCACCCCAAGAACGAGGGACCCAGGAACGTGCGGATCGCTGCCCGAAAGACCTCCAAGAGTCCCCAAAGGTAAAGAAAAAGTGTTCAGTCCCCCCTTCAGAGCTGGGAACATCAAGGATCAATGGAGGATCGAAATGGAGCCTCTATATAAAGCTACTGAAGCAAAGGGGCACATTGTAATCAAGTTCATAAAAATAGAGAAACTTGGCAACAATAGGAAACTCACTATTGCCTTATAGGCACGGACTTGATCTGAAATGTGTACACCCAAGTGTAGGCGGTCAAGCTATGGTAATAATTCGATTAAGTCTGGAGTCGAATCCATAGGGAACTATGGTTGGTGTTTCAAAGTAAGTAGTGACATAGACCATGTAATAGGAACCCTTGATATTTGAAGTTATAGGATTTTCTGGACAGAATATAAGATTCTTTCCAAGGGTTTTTTTTTTGGAAAAAATATAATAAATTATCAAATGTAACAGTCACCCTTTAGCTCAAGGATCTAAACATGTAGTTAGTCATCCAATTTATTATACTTATGCTTGGTAGCTCAATTAACCTTTGTGTTAATATAAAGTTAATCGGGAGATAAAGATAGATTCTGAGAATTAAGAGCATGATTTCGATGTCATTGTAGAGATTTACAAGAATTTTCTATGCCGAGACTCAACCTGTCTACAAACAAGCAAGTGTCTCTACAAGGCATCCAACCATTGTGTTAATATTTCATTCTTTAAATGAAGCACAATAATGGTGAAGATTGAAATGTAGTCATGAAGATCTATCCAGAGTACTTCCCTAGAACCAATGGGTCTTTCTATGCAAGAATCATCTACATCATAGAAAGCACCTATGATTGTACAAAGTACCTTAGCTTTGCTAGATGCATTCAATCATTCAATAAGAAAGTGTAATATAAAGCATTAAGCATAAACGAAATGCACAAATATAACTTTTGGGTGATTTATACATGTCCATCACCTCTTACTAAAGAGTGAATGAGAAACTACTCACTCTTCATGGCTTTGGTGAAGTTAGAAAAGTGAGTGATGTTCATCCCTACAAATAGAGGATATATAACATAAAACACAATATACAAGGAGTCAATCTTTGACAAAGAATAAGTGAATCATGTTCTAGCCTTCACGACTTTGGTAAAGCTCTAGAAAAGTGGAAGAGTTTCACTCCTCTAAGGGAAGAAGGAAGCTCAAACAATGAAATTAAATGAAACTAATAATGAAAGTAGAAGAAAGCTAATCACTTTTGGAGGGTTTTCACCTCAACCAAAAGATGATCTATCTGCCTCTATGCAAGTAAATGTAAACCTAAGTCTAACTCTACAATTAGCTCTAGCTCTATCTGTGTCTCATGAAGCTCCTACCATGGGAGTATTTATAGGTAAGGAGGAGGGGGCAAGGGAGTGTGAAAGAATAGTGTAAGTCCTTCAAAGTCCAAGTGAAAGTCAACCACTCCGCAGCTTATCTGGGGGCAACATTCGAACGTTGTCTGGCGCTCGAACATTGTCTCCTGTCTTTGATCGATGGGCGTTTGAATGCCAAATAGGGTTTGAACCTCTTACTTAAGTAACATATGTTCTGCTGTGAGAGCTACTTCCACACACCATGTACCATTGCCCTTGCACTCAGCAGCCTGATCCTCAATAATTCAGGATAACATTCGAATGTCGATTGGTGTTCAAACGTTGTACTCAAGTACCTCTATGTTTTCTTTATTAGCTACAACACGCCATGTATCAGCACTTCAGTAGTCTGGTCTTCAAATAATTCAAGAGAATGTTCGAACGTGGATTGGCGTTCAAATGTTCTTGCCATGTTTCAAGCTTCTCCAATTTTCTTCTAGAACATGTTGGTGTTCGCATGAAAGTTTGATATTCGTTGCCTTTGGGCCTTTGTAGAATTTATGTCCTGAAATTTCATCATTTAGACTCCATCAAAGTATAATTAGTCTTAAAAAGGCATAGTAATATGCTAATTTTAACTACCAATCAGGTGCCAAAAAATAAAGAAGCTTATCATAGCACCCCAGCCTTCAGGAGAAAGACGAGAGGAGCACAACCTAAAGAAAGCTAGAATCCACCCAATGGCAGGATGGATGAGAAAATGAAGACCTATCTTGAAAGCACCTTCGGAAAAGCATATTTCTCATTGGGAGAGAAAGTTGCAAGCCTCATCAGAAGTTGCGATTCAAAGGGGTAAGTCAGCGAGCAGAAGGTACTGCCTCTTGATTTCCTCCAACTCTAGGGTTGTAATCACGGAAGGAAGCAAGAAGTTAGAATACCACACCATGTCAATCATGACCTGAACTCATTGTTTTGATCAAAGAAGTAAGAGAGGGAGCCATATAAATCAGAAAGAAGATAGAAAATGAAAGAAATCTCAGGAAGAATGAGGAACATGAAGAAGAAATCTCAAGATTTGTAGACAATAAGAAATCCCAAGTTTTATGGAAATAATTGGGAATCCTGAGGGAGCAAGAAACATGCAAAAGGAGCAGAGTGGCCAAGCATGGGCCCATGAAAAGTAGATCTTAGACACAAGAAGTTCAGTTTAGTTGATGGCTCTCCAGCCAAATGGAAGGTGAACTCTTCAGCTCATAACAATGAGCCCTTCAACCCATAAAGATAGAGGCATTGAGCTAAGACAACATGAACCAAGGATGAGATCTTTGGGCTGAGCTAACACAAATCCATGGAAAATGAGCTCTTCAGCTCATAAAGCTGAACTATTCAGGTCTGAAAAAAAAAAAAAACCTTAGGTTCAAGAGCTCTTTAGCTTGTAAGATCCCTTCAGATCATAGAAATAAGACTAGCACCTCAGCTCAAATCAAGGTCAGGTTCCCAATCTCATACTTCAAGGAGAACTAAGATCTCCTCAAAACAAGGGGCAGAGGGGAACAAACAGAATGCAATAACACAAAAGAATGCAAGAACACAACAATCAAAAGTACAGCAATTAAAAAGCAAAAAATACAAGCATTGGACAAAAAAAATTTCTTATAAAGAACCGGTTGCAAAGTATTTTATAAAAAGAATATAAAAATAGAAGTATTAAGTGCCTATAGTTGGATCTGGGATCTCAGATTGCCTTGGCAACTTCAGAATCTCAAGAATAGTAGTTGATGTGGAGTCAATAGGAGCCTCAGGTGGCTTAGGAAGCTCGGGAGGAACAGATATGATGGCTGGTGTAGAAGGAGCCACAGAAGCCAAGACCTTGGGTGGTGAGACAGGTGCCTCGATACCCACGGGGGCAGGGACCTCAGCTGAAGAGATAGATACCTCGGCACCCTTAAGAGAAATCTTAGAGACAGTAGGAACCAATACCTCAGCCTCCTTTTTAGCTCATGGCATCTCTTTCTCCTTATCCGAAGGAGGATCAAATTCAAAATCTAGGTCTGGATACTTCACCATAGCTAGATCTTGAAAAGCAAGGTACCTAGTAGCCTAGTTGGTGGCAACTTCATCCTCCAGCTTAGCAATCAGAGCGTCCTTCTTCTTAATGGTAGCCCTCTCAGAATCAATTTCAACAGAGTTTTGTTCACCTTCGCCAAGATTTCATACTCCCTTTCATTATATCAAAGGATTCAAGGGTCTCTAAGGCATCCTTACGAGCCAGGAGAAAGTTATCTGCCTTCAGCTTGAGCCCTTTCTTGGTCTTTTTGGCCTTATCCTTTGTTTTTTCTTTCTCTACCTCTAAGCCTTTATTGGAGGAGGTTAGCTCCTCAACCCGAGTTTGCAAGTCTTGCACCTGAGTCTTGAGGTCATCATTAGAAAAAGTCGGCTCGGCAACCTTAAGCTCTGATGCCTTTGACTCCTTTTTAGCCTCCTAGGTTATACTATCCAAAGTCCTAGCCCAGCTCACCAGGGCACTCACGTGAATGACCAACTAAAAGAAAATACAACCATAGGACAAAATCAGTACGAGGCAACAACGTAGAACAAAAATGGGATCAAGTAAAATCAAAACTTACCGAAGTGGCACAAAACAAAACAATAATGGCAGAAGTAGAGAGGGGCATGGTAGCAACCTCCTCAATATCAGACTCAGGGATGATAGAGGAAATGGCCTCTATAGCAAGTTTCACATCCTTTATCAGTGAACACTTATTCTTCTTTACCTTCACGCCTTCCACCAACAGGTGATAAGTCTTCTCAACGGGTCTAGGAGAAGGAGGTTCATGCAAGATATAGGCAATTGACTCCAAGTTGTGACTTTGAGGCCATAACTTGCCCAGAAACCCCTTTAGAGGGGAAAGGCAAGGTCCCATGAAGAGCTAAGGACAACGCAATCTGCGGTGAGCTCAGCAAAGGCATAGAAACCTCAGGGGGAGCAGGAAGAGAAGCAGGAGGCACTTTTTCCCTTAGCACCTTTGCAAAGGGAGCAGGGTCACTTTCTGACCCGACCTCAGCCTTGTGCTTTCTCCCACTCGTGTTCTTCCTCAGTAGGGCAACCATCGCCTTTAAAGCTTTAGCATCTAGAGCCATTAAGCTAGAACCTAGAAATCCAAAATGAACAGATCAGAAAGGAAAAATAAGTAAAATAGAAGTTAAGGATAATATGGAGAAAGCATTACCTACAACCCTTTCTACACCAACAATGGAAATAGGAATAGAAGTCTCTACAGTCACTTCGGGAGGACTAATCTCGAATTTATGAAGCATCTTAGGCTTGATAAACTTGGAATATTGCTCTGGCTTGCAATTTTCCAAGCCTAGTAGAATGACCTCATCCTCGGCACTAAGCTCGAGTCAAATACCTAGAAAGAACAAGTAGAGCAAAGTATGTAGAATGAAGCACCAAGGCTGGTCCAAGCCTACTCAGGCAAGGGCTTACCCAGATTGTCAGGGGCAAACCAAGCCCGAGGCACAAGAAGGGTATCAGCTGTGTCATTAGGATTGTACTCCCATTCCCTCCCAATGTGAAGAAAACGATCTTCTTCCAACCTTTGTGGGAGATTGGGAGGTTAGTAATAAAAACACAAGACTTCACTCATTTAGCTATATACAAAAAATCGTCAGAGAGAGTGACCTTGACATTGAAGAAATTCATAAGCAATGGCACTGTTAGGGCACCAAGATTATTCTTCTTGAAATATACAAGGAGGCCCNTTTCCAACCTTTGTGGGAGATTGGGAGGTTAGTAATAAAAACATGAGACTTCACTCATTTAGCTATATACAAAAAATCGTCAGAGAGAGTGACCTTGACATTGAAGAAATTCATGAGCAATGGCACTGTTAGGGCACCAAGATTATTCTTCTTGAAATATACAAGGAGGCCCACCAAAATACCCCAAAAATTGGGAGAAAGTTGATCAGGGCAAATGTTAAAGTGTTGAAGAACGCTCTTAAGAAAAGGATGCATGGGGAAGCGAAGGTCATTCTCTAGAGAAGCTGCAAAGAAATAGATTTTCTCATGAATCTCCACAAGAGGGCACCAATACTGCATACCTCGAGGAAAACCAAATCTAGTTAATAAAACTTTCATGAAAGGGGGGTAACCTTGCTGAAGACTACGATGTCTAAAGTGCTGGGGGGACCTTTACCCCCTCAGCACTGCCAAATGGCCCCAACATCACTCACCTTAGTTTTTTCTTTCCTAGACTTTTTGGACCTCGGCACAAAAGAAGATGATGAATGGAGGTCATCGGCCTTTTCCCCAGTATCAACAAGATTTACACCAAGAAAATTATCTATCTCTTCGCCCACATCCCCAAAACCAACGTCCTCCTATTCAGAAAGCCTCTTGCCCATAGCAAGAGAAACAAATGAAGCAGTAGCTTCGGAAGAGCCTAACATGACAAGGTTGGAAAAAGGGAGATGAAAAGAGGAATAAGTGATGAGCGCATAATATTGCATATTTAATAGCCTCATTATATTCATTTTAAATCAACTTTGCATTTAATTACTTAGAGTTAGTCAAATTTATAAATAATGTTGAAATCTTGATGTTGCAGGTAATTATAGCGTAAATGATGGATTTCGGAACCCTACAACTAAGTGTGAATGAGTGGTTAAGAGATGAACACATTACATGAGGATTAGGTATTGGTACCTCTGTTTTCCTCATTTTTGACCATGATCCACTTCGAATCTAAAAGAGTTTAAAACATGAAAGTTGTAAATTTGGATGTTCTAGTGTCAACAGTTCAGCTGAATCCAACGGTTTGATCAAAAGTTCTGATAAATTTATGAAAATTGGTCCTTAACTAGCATCTCATTTATGACTTACCGATAAAAGTAAACCAAAACCTACCGGTAGGTTTTTTCTTCGACCTATCGGTAGGTTTTGCTAAAAAGTGCTAGGTTTTGCAACTCATCTTCCACTTGCTTAGGGGGCCCACCATTGTTTCTCCCACACATTTCTTACATTGACTACATACAACCATGCCTACAAGACCCTAGTTGCTGAATTTTGAGGATGGAGGATGGAAAATGAAGAGAGAGAAAGAGGGAGGCATGGTGGGTGCAGACTATGCTTGTCCTAGCCTATCCAAAGCCATCAACTGACCTCCCATTGATGGGAGGCCTGCACACACAAGCTAGAGGAGCCGTATGGATGAAATTACAGATGTCTTACACCATATAATCAGCTTCACACAAACTTTGAAGAAGAATAGAGGCTACATAAGCTTAGGAGTAGTTTTAGTGAGAGAAGCTCCCCAGAAAAAAGATGAAGTTCTAGAGATAGAAAGCTTAGATTTTTGCATTTTCTTCACCCATTTCACTTGTAGTAAGTTGTATTTCACTTATAATCTTCATTTTTAGTACTTTTATCTCTTCTATTTCAAGTGTAATCATGTTTAATTCAATGTTCTTGAACATTAATATTTACAGCTGGGTTTTCTCTGTAACTTTTCCATTTTGGTGTGAAATGAATTTCTCTTTGTAGTTTACTTCTTTCTAGCGTTAATACAAAGTTCTAAGTTTCATTCTCATCTCTATTTCATTTCCATTTCACTACCATGTCTCTTTACATTATATTTGTTCTTGCTTTTACTATGAGTAGCTAGATTTTTAGTTGGCTAATCCAAGGAGAATTTACTCTTGGGTATATGAAATTGACTCTCGTTCATTCTTACTTGTAGTGAAAGGTGGTTTGGTTTGACTAGGTTGAGTGCGAATGTGGTTGTGAGCTTGATACATCATAGACTTGTCACAGGGTATGTTTGACCTGTCACTTCGATTTTAGTCTCTCACTGCCTATGAATCAATCGAACACCTATGCATCATTGGGAGAATGTTTTGAGTTGATTTGGCATTCTCAATGGAATGACCTCTTTAGATTAGTCAACCTTGCTTTCTTGCATCTTTATCAAAACAAAACTCACCAAAACACAAATCACAAGATTTTGTAATTTTTATTTTTCACAAAATCACCTTCATCATAACTCAACCTTCCTTCCCTGAGAAGACGACCTTGGAATACTTAATTTCAAGTAAAACGCGACACTTGAAAGTCTCTCTACGCTTGAGGAGCACCTTTGCACACACACACGTTTTGTTCATTCATGTAAAACCTAGGTAAATTTGAACTTTTTATGAAAAAGGGAAAAATGGTAATTTCTCACTACAGTATAGGTTGTAAACCTGAAATTTTTTAAAACNATTTTGTTCATTCATGTAAAACCTAGGTAAATTTGAAGGAAAAATGGTAATTTCTCACTACAGTATAGGTTGTAAACCTGAAATTTTTTAAAACTCGAATGACAAAATAGACCTCACCATTGGATTCATCTTGTAAATTCTAGTTACCACGTCAAATTTTATCGAATTCTGAGATAGTCAGATTTTTTGCCTTTTACGAGACGGTCGAGTCTTGGGTGATCCAAAAATGGAATTTCGATAAAACATTTTGAAATTTAGAAAATAATTTAAAGTAAATTAAAATAAAAATATTTTAAACTTGAATCGGGACAAAATTTAATCATTTCGAGGCTAAAACGCACCTGGGAAAATAAGGCCATGTGGCGCGTTGGGAGGCTATAAATAGGGGAAGAAAATCAGATTTCCTCCCCTATTAATCAGCCAGTTCCAACATGAGAGAAAGAGAGGGAAAATAGAGAGTTTCTCCACCTTCTCTCTACGATCTACAAAGCTACGGTGCTCAAATCCCCTCAGGACAAAAACAAAAGTCAATCTCCTTGTAGAGGGCTACACGCCCACACCAAAAATGAGGGATTTCACCAAAGTTTCAAAACTAAGCTTGATGGAATCAAGCGCTTGGGGCAAAAAATTTGAGTCTTTAGGGCTTCTACCAAGTGGGTTTACCCTTCAAGAGGTAGGGTTCCTTCCAACTTAGGTTTATTTAATAATTTAGGGTGTAGTATGTAA